CCCCCCCCCCCCGGCATACAGCACCCGCCAGCATTACCTCAACGCCATGTCGTTCGCGTCGTTTGCGCCGCTGCCCGCGCCGTCGTCGGGCGCGTCGTCCATTTGGGCACGCCGCATGATCACCAAGTCGGTGCCCACGAGCGATGCCGAGGTGGAGCTCAACGTGCTCTCGCTGCTGCTCGATGTGCCGCTTGCCGCGCTCGACGAGCACGAGCTCGCCACGTCGCCCGTGGCGCTGCACACGCCCGCCTCGCCCTGGGCTCCCAGCCCCGTCTCGGATATGGGCTTTGCGCACGCTTCGCCGCTGTCGCTCGAGATGCACGCTGCACAGACGGCGGTCAAGGCGGCACTCGACGTGCTCGAGGAGCCGAGCCTCAGTCGCGGGCTGCGCATCTCGACAGCCATGCCCGCGGCAGCCGGTGGACGCGGGTGCTTGACGGCGCCTCTGTCGCCTGCACTCTCCTCGCCCGTCTCGCCGGCAGAGTCGTGCTTCAGCACCGCCGACGAGGGGCTCAAGAAGAAGGGCCGCGCGCGCATGTCGCAGGAGAAGCGCAAGCGGCTCGCACGCCGACGCGAGCGCGAGGCGCTCGTCGCCACCCTCGGCCCCTCGGAGCTCCACTTCCTGCCGCACTCGAGCCACAGCGCACCCGTGACGCCCGTCCACTCGTCCTTCACCCCGCACGCCTTTGGCGGCTTCCCCTTTGGCGCCGCATACGACACGGCGCCGCGCGACGGGTTGGCGTACGACATGCCGTCGCCCGCACTCACCACCGCCTCGCTCGCAGCTTCCAGTGCGGCGTGCTCGACGCCAGCGAGCTCGCCGACCGCACTCGCGCCCGTCGGCGACGCCAACTCGAGCCCACCCACGCTGGTGGTGCAGCCGCCCTCGCCCCAGCGACACCGCCTCCACGGCCTCGGCCGCCCCAAACACGCCTGGACCGGCTTCGCCCCCACCCACCTCGCCTCCGTCTTCTGACTAGTCCTGGCGTGCTTCTTTTTAACCCACCATCCTCCCTTCGCGGGATGTATACCCACGCAGCTTTGTACCGTCCCACTCAATGTAGCCCTAGACACACTCTGCACACACGCCGAGCATTGATTTTTGATCGGCCTAGGATCGGATTTGGCATGGCAAAGTCGCTGCCTGCTGTCTTGGTCGTGGGGAGATTTAGGCGGTGAGGGCGGCGGCG